GGAGACGTATGTATTTCTATTTTGCACGAGCCTGGTGAGGACAAGTATGGCTACGAGAAACCAGAGGAGCGCTGGCTGCCTATCCACACAGTGGAAACCATCATGATTAGTGTTATCTCTATGCTGGCAGACCCAAATGGTGACTCACCAGCCAACGTGGATGCTGCAGTAAGTTTGCTTGTTGAAGAAGTTGAGTAGAAACTCTGTTTGATTGTGTTTTTCTATTTAATCCAGCATCTGAAAGTCACAATCTGAGGCCTAAATGTTGGTCTTTTATAAAACCACACATTTCAGTAAAACACAAGAATTTGCTCGTTTGTTTTGAAGAGCTGTAAAATATGAATGTGTTACTGAAATGCATCATTACAAATACAAGGAATCAGTGGTATGCTGAATTTAAAAAAATATAACGAAGCACATACACTTGATGAACTGGAAACTTGTCAAAAATGAGGAACCTGAATTGTCTTTACATTTGTGCCCTCTGCAGAAAGAGTGGAGGGAGGACAGACATGGCGCGTTCAAAAGGAAAGTTGCCCGTTGTGTACGAAAAAGCCAAGAGACTGCGTTTGAGTGATATTTAGCAAGGAGCTAGCTTCATGTTTTCAGGGTAAGTATTTTTGACTTTGAGCCTTTAAAATTCTATCAGTCACATCTAACTTCAACTGCTCAGAAATGCACTGAGTAAATTGAAGTAAAAATGTACTGTAGTTCAAATGTAATCTACATTGAGTTACTTACTTGCTTTCTAATAAAACATAAGCATTGATTCTCCCTTTAATATACAGCTTATCATGTTAGGGCCCAGTTTCTTGAAGCTTCTGGGGAGGTGTTGCATCAGCTGTGTGATTGTTGTGGAGGGTGTGGTTTGTGTTTCTGCTGCTCAGCCCACCCCAGTCGACAAACTGACAGAAGGACTGTGTAATGCACTAGCAGCAGCTAAAACTGTGTCTCCTTCGAAACCATTAAACCTGTTGAATCCAGACCTCTCCAAATCAATTTCAGCAGAAGCTAAACATTATGACCTTTGTGACTGTTGTATTTGACTGCATTATTTTTACATGTATGTGATTAGCTGGTAACTGAGCTTCTGTTTGTGTTTGTGCATGAGCAAAATTTAATCGTTCCAGCATTCGTGCAGTTTTTCCAGCTTAAGAGCTTTTCAGACATAAGATTAGTGACATCGCAGCTTGTTGAAGTGGCAGGATTCTGTCATTCAGACAAAGGTCACTTTAACATGAATGTTCTTCACAGCTTTATTCAGATGTACCTCCCACTGTGATGAAGAGAGCCACAGTACAAATGTGATGTTTTTCTTATACACGAGATTGGACAGTACAGTCGTGACTTGATAATCTGACACTAAATGTAAAACCTTCTTTTATGTCGGATAGCAAGGCTGTCGGATTGTCAAGACGGAGATGGAATACAAAGAGGGCTTGATGCTTGAAGGCTCATTAGTTGTTAATTATTGTTCATAGTTGTTATAATAACTAGTAGGGCTTGTCCCAACAGCACTTTCTGGTCTCTGGATATTCAGGCTCAATTAATGATAAACATCAGAATATTCTACACGGTCGGGGAACACTTCCACCCCAGGGGAGCGCTCCAACGGGGTGGAAGTGGCTGGAACGGGCAGGTAGAACTTGGCTGCTGATGCCAGTTTAGTTAGTGGTCACACTTCTGTTTCCACCGTCAGCAGTGGCGCCACCATCCTGTTTACTTCCATAAACACTGAGCACGCTCACTGCGTGTGACGTCGTCGTGTCCTCTTCTGTGCATGCGGGACACTTTTGGGTCGTATGAAGTTCACACAGCAGATCACATACAAGTCGTGTTTAATTGGAAATGTGAAGGAACTCACAAAAAAATCCTCATTGAGCATTAAGTCCTGCAGTCTGAATGTAGCCAATCTGTGGGATTGTTCAGTCAGATAATACGCCGTTATCCTTACTGGTGATATAAAATGTCATGTCGGAGTCAGAATCCAAGGCTGTCTGTATGTTAAGGCTAATTTTTATGGGTTCCGTTCATTTTTCCTAAAAGCCTGTCAGATAGCAAGGTTTAGGATTGTTATGGGTCGGATTATCGAGTCACGACTGTACATCAAGTCACGTAATGTTTAGTAATGCACTAATGAAAACAAGACTAAATCCAAATCCACTGTCTAATAAACAGGAACTAACAGTAACTTATATTAACTTATATGACAGCTCACCTGTCTGAGGTGAGGAGAAGTACACAGTGTGACTTTTCATCAGACAGTGATGATGCTGTGGATAATCTATTATTTTAAGTATTTAAAGACGTTACTGCTGCTGCTCCATGTGAGCAACTCTCTTACTTTGGAGACACTTCTAAGGATCCTGCTGTTGTTTGATGCTGCAGATATTTAATAAATGCAGAGAAAAGACAGCTGGACTTCATCATTGTGTGACTACATGCAGTTTGTACTGTGTTGAAAGTGATGCATAAATGTTAGTAGGTCTGACCCAGTAAGATTATGGTCATCGTTTTTANGTGAATGCTGTTTCACACCCTGACATGATGTGCACCATGGTGCCACTTTCCCCTCACAGCTTGCACAGTGGGTCCTCTCTCATTCCCCATTTGTGTAAGTTTTCTGGGGTCAGGAGTGTGTCATGTCTCATCAGAGAATGTGGAAGGACAGGTAAGTATGAACACAGCTGACCGGCAGCTCCCTCCGCTTACTGCAGGGATCAAAACAACAACAACAACAACAGGATCCCTGCAAGTAATAGTAAAAATCCTCCTTCACAGAATATGATTACATCTGAGGATGCTTCTCCTTCATTCATCTTCTGTGAACGTGATGTTGTTCTGGACAGCCTGGGGGAACTGCAGTCTTCCTCCCAGGTCTACCCTCATGTCTCATGCCTGGGCCTTTTGCAGTTAGGCTGTTCCTTGTTGTTGCTGTGGATCAGGACTTTTCTCCTTTCTTACAAACTGGATTGATGTTTTGTCTCCCATGTGGTTGGCGTTTCTTGCATCTCTCCTGCTCCAGTGTGTTGGCTACCATCATGAGCACCTTGTCATGGCGATGACCCTCCCGATGGTGGGTCAGCGCTGGTGGACAAGTTACTGCCCATCTCATCCTCCTGGCTCCCAGCTGGGCTCATCTTTCTTGCTCCATAACCAGCAAGAGGCTGTTTCAGCTGCCTCCCCCATCCTGTGAGCTGCTGTTTTTCTCTTCCTCCCTGTTTTCCTGTGGCTGTGAGCATTCTCCACACTGACTGGTGGGAATCAAAGGTGAGTAAAATTCTGATTGCACATTTATTCAAATTTCAGTTTTATCCATGTTACTAACACTGTTTCTTTTATGCAGGTGGCTTCACCAAATTAAAGTAAGTTTATACTTGAAATGAATCAATAATATGGATTTAGTATTTATTATTAGTGGTGATTTGAAATTGATGCATTTCACTTACTGGGTAGTTCTTTGTTCTGTTTCATCTTCCATCATCCGGGGGTTCCTGCAGCAGAGCTCTGTTCCGTTCTGTGGACCAGGAGCTCTGTTCGGGGAACTCCCGGATGATGGACAGGACACCCGGACCCGACCCGACCAGAAGGACGGATGACCAGGGACCAACGGGAGAGAGGTGGCGTGTTTTCAGTCCGCTGACGAAGTAAGTCCTCACAACAGGAACGCAAAGTAGTGATGAGCTAAAGTTAACTTTCAGCAGGTTGATGTATTGTGTGAACCTGTAGTTGTTCTGCACCTGCAACACCACACATTCATTTATGGCTTCATATCTATAAAAGGAACACAAATAGTTATTGGAGGTTTAATTCAACTGAGCAGCAGCTACCAACAATGCAAAGCTTGATTTTTGTGTCTGTTCTGTTTCACAGCTCACCATCCGATCCAGACGCTCCTGCCTCCAACACCACCCTCTCCAGCCTCTGACAGCACCAGCCAGCGAAGAGGAAGACGTTTCCAGCAGCGCTTCACTGTATATGAATGTATAATGTTTATTGTAAATAGTCAGATTTAACTTGTTTCATTTAAAATGTAAAAAAACATTTTCATGATTGTATTAGCATAGTTGGTTGGTTGTTAGTTTTGATGTTTAATAAATGTGCAAAAATTCATATAAACGTGTTTTTTCACTTTTTAACTTTAGGTTATTGATGGGTGACTATGGTCATTTTACATGTACGTGTTAGATGTTGACTAAAGTCAAACAATGAGATGTGACGTTAGAGTGTGTTCTGTGAGATGTTCTACCTTCTCTGATGGTGGATCAACGTGGAGCTTCTTCAACACTCAATCAGATGCAGGAGTCGCATCTGTTTCAACCATCAGACAGACGTTATGAGAGGAAGTCACCGTTTGGAACTCAGCAGTTTGATGAAAAGTAGATATGAACACAACAACAACAACAACAACAAAAGTCTTCATATGGTTCTGAATATTATGTGTATTTTGTGTATATGTAAATATTGAACTACTGGACCAGGAGACTCTAAAAACCCCTGAGACTCAACATGGAACACTGGTGGTTTTATACTAACAATGTGGTATGTTGTCAAATACTAAGAGGTTTATACTTCAATGAAAACAGGTGATTATGAAATGAAATGAAATGAAAAATAATTTATTTATCCCAGAAGGGAAATTCAATCTTGTAAAAGCTCACTTTTTAAAAAAAAAAATCAATGTAACATATATTATATACAACAACAATAATAATAATAATCATTATGATGATGTTTGGACAGATTATTTTGAAAATTGGTGATAAACATTAACCTGATTATTTAAAAAAATAAATGCTGGCAAAAGAATTAAAAAAAAAAAAAACAATTAACTTTTAAGAGATAACTTAATTCACAACTAATTTTAAAAATATATAGATTTTTTAGATTAATATGCACTTTTCAAAGCTGTTTTAAAGAAGTTAATGATTCACTTGTAAAGAACTATTTAAATATCAACTTTTTTTTTAAATGACTAAGGAAATTAGTTAGTCTTAGTTATATTTTAAAAGATTCTTTCAAAAATAGCTGTTAAAAAATAGAATTAGTTGATTACCTTCAAAAAGATTGTTTGTTTTTCAAAATAGAAAATTAGCATTTACACGTGTATTTTAAAAAGAGATGATGAACTTGAAAAATTCTAACATAGGTGATTGACTTTAAAAATAAACAATAAATATAGGTGATTAACTTTTAAAATAGTGTTTTTTAAAATGAGACAATCAACTTTTAAAACATTTAAAACTGATGATTAACTTTTAAAAGATGGTTTAAAAAAACAACTAGATAATTGTAAAATTTAAAAAAAAAACAAAAGTTCATGGTTAAATTTTAAAAATAACTGATTAAACGATAAAGAGTCATAAGAAACAGATAACTGCTTATAAAATATGTATATATATAAACTTTTTGAGGTTATATAAAATAAATGAAAGTGTGTGAAGGGAAAAACTTTACAAATATCTTTTACACTTTAAAAAATTCAGTCAAAATAAAGCTGGTCGGGAAGGAATGGTTTTGAAATCTGATGATTTGAGATTAAATAACCCAAATGTTGTCATTTTGGTCAAAGCTGGATCACTTCAGCTGCTCCATCTAGTGTCCGCTGTAAAGTTTACAGTCAGCACTTGCTCAAATAATAAACCCAATTAACCAGACATTTTTCAGTGGAGGCTTCATGTGTTCAATTTATAGCCTTTCACGGTGGGTTTCATTCTATGAGTCAGATGGAAAAATTAACGATAAGTCAGTAAACACGATTCTAACACAGTTTAACACTGCTTTTTTAAATTTTAATTTTACATTTTTTAAAAACCCTGATTCTTTTCAAAAATCTGACTTGTGTACATGAGTCGTCATAAATCCAGCCTCCACACAAGACTACACTAATATGTACAGCTGTGTTTTTTTCTTACAGGGAACACATGCAGTTAGAAAAGCATTTGACCAGCACTTGACATTTAAAATTTCCTTAGAATTTTTATCTAAAAAATTAATTTCATGTGCTGCATAAAAAAACATCCAAAGCACCTAAACTTTTCATTTTAAAGGGGTCTGATTGTCACTGATTCTGTTGAGAACTGAGACCACAGGCAGGTAAACGGGCAAAAAAAAAACCTGGATGTCGCTAAAGTCTTGACTTATTTACTTATCATCATTTGTTAAAAGAAATGCCATGGAATTAATACAGTAAATGTAATGAATTCTATTAAGATTAAAGGATCTATTCCCATCTGAGACAAACCAACAGTCTGAAAGTCACTCTGTGGCACACAGCCATTGATCTCAGTGTTATGCTGATGATGACAAATTGCCATCCAGTCCTTGAGTAACCTGATGCATCGTTGCTCCATATATTTTTTGACACTAGTTTATCTATTTTGGGCTTCATGAAATGAAAACATTTAAAAGCTCAGGATGCTGCCATTGTCTTCTGTTGCCTTCATTGTTGCCTGATTGCCTCATGCGGTGATAGAATTATTATGAGATGTAGAGGAGGACATTAAAATAGGAATAGAATTGGACTGTATACTGCATTATTTGCATGAGATTTAATTTAATTTAATTTAATTTAATTTTATTTAATTTTATTTTATTTTATGATTGCTTGGAACAAGGAGAAGTGCCGCTGAAGGACTGACCAGAAGGTGGCAGTAATGTAACAGTGACGATGCCGGCACCTGCACACTTTCCACGAAGAAGAAGCGGCGGCAGCAGCAGCGGCAGGAGACGGCGACGAAGAAGAATAATGACGAGAATGCTAAACGGAAAATAGAAGGGACTGAGTAGCGCTTGGTGAACATTAAATTAACGCCGTTACCTCGAAATACCCCCGTTGAACATAGCTGCATTACATCTGCTGAACTATGACAGAGCCTCAGTCAGCGCTGTTACTCAGGAGACAGCTTGCAGGTAATCAAACCTTGGCGTAAACTGATGCTAACGGCGGCTGTTGCGGGAAACGTTGCCGTCGCTGTGATTCAAACGACGGTGCTGCTGGCGCAAACTGTTTTCTTGAACCTTCCACATTAACGTCCCCCTGACAGAACTGCGGGATCGTAGCAGTGAAAAGTCGGCACAACACCTTTTCCCTCTTGACAAACTGACGTCGTCAGTGTGTTTGGGAGAGCAGCTCGTTTGAATGTGCGGTTCGGTACTGCGGACTGATTGCAGTTGGAAGCCGCTGTCAGAAGTCCCAGCGACTCTAGCAGTGAGCCTGCCGCTAGCCTGTAGCCGACTCGATGTGTTTACATACATTTTAAGCGACACAACAGCTGGTGTTTTACATTTTCTACGTGGCGTTTATCAGTGTTGTGATTAACATAATGTTAGCGACTACACCGTGTTACTAGCTGACCCATTTCCGCCGCTAACCACATCAAATTGTTCACATATTGAGCCAACTCGCTTTATCTGTAGGCTAGCGTTAGCCGCTGTCACTGTTGTTAGCGTCAACAAGCTAACAAGCTAATGTTAATCTCGCATTACCTCAATTCGCTATTTTAGCAGGATCAGCTGCGAATTAAATTTAGCTGCACTAATATTAGCCACTTTCCAAAACCAGCTGACTATAGCACACATACTGTAAGGTTTTGGCACCGGTGTTACGTTTCAGGTTTTGGCTAAGATGGGACATAACATGCAAACTGTCAGGGACACAGTGTGCTCTATTGTAGCTGTCCACAGATTCTCTCTGTTGTGGTGGATAACTGAATAATGTTGTAATGAGATTTGATAGAATAAACTAACATCCACTGCACGTCTTTTATTGCCCAATAGAATTTGTATTCTTAAATTTGTTCCACCTTATTCTTTACATATGATGCTTGTAAGCCATCAAACATGAACTCTAATAGGACTTCATACAGAGGCAGCTGATTTGTTCTGTTTTAATGTACAGAAAGGTGGGATGTGGTGCCAGCTAACTGAGTTACAAATGCATCATTTGTAAACCAGCAGTGACAGATACCAAATCTTTAGTAATTGAGTTTAATATTGCATGTCTTGTAAGCACTCTTATTGTGTCTTTTCCACCAATAAACAAACAATAGAATGCTATGAGGTTTATAATCTCAATTTGATCTACATTAACAAAGACAGAAGCAACTGTACAGATTTTGGATTTAAACGTCTTTAACCCAATTAGCGCATTCCAAAATTGATGGTCACTGTTTAAATTTCCAGCTGTCGGAGAAATCCGTCTGAATTTTGCAGGATCTTTTGATATGTGCATGTGTTTTGTATTTTGGTCACAGATTGAAACTGAATCTTGTGGCAAATTGAAAATGAAATGGAAGACAATACCACAAAATGAACAATATTTCAGAGAGGACACATCAAAACACCTATTTGATCATGTAATTGTTCTGTAATTATTAGTACATAATGATATGATGTGTTGAGGTAGGTGTTGTAATGTCATGGAAAACTGCAGCTGGAGTCCAGTGAGTGATTCATTAGTGTAGTTTTAGCGACGTGCTCCTTCTTACCGAACCACCAATAAAGACCTCCTGAGACAAGGGTTGTGTTGTCTCCTTAGCAGGGTTGAGAAAACTACGACACAGTATTCACAAATGCTACGAGGACATGACAATCTGATATTTGTTTCCATATCTAGAGCTGAACAAAAACCCAGTGGAGGGATTCTCAGCAGGCCTGATCGAGGATAATGATCTCTACAGATGGGAAGTCCTTATTATTGGGCCTCCGGACACACTGTAGTAAGTCTCACTGTTTTGTACAGGTGATGCTGTGGATGTGCTGTTATGTCTGAGCAGCTCCTCCTGGCCTTTACTGATGTCTCTGTTTTTACACTTGTACAGTCTTTACCTATAACATTGATGTTCTGATTTTTCTTTTTTTGTTCACAGTGAAGGTGGTGTGTTTAAAGCTCATCTGACATTTCCCAAAGACTACCCTCTCAGGCCACCTAAAATGAAATTTATCACAGATATTTGGCACCCTAATGGTAAGTGCTATGAATGTTGTTTGTCACAGTTTGTCGTGATGGATTTCAGTTTGAGGAAATGGAGCTTAGATGGTTCTCTAAGATGGAAACATGTCTTTGTGTTTTGCCCTCAGAATGTTCAAAAATTAACATTTTGTTTTAACTA